GCGGGGAGCAGCGCGGGGAAGGGTGGGTTCGCCCCCCGCCCGCCACACCGATCACGAAGCCCGGGCCCGGGGACGGGGACGGGGACGGTGCAGCGTGGCGGCCACTACAGAGAAACGGGCCGACCGGCCTGGAAACCGCCTCCTCGAGGCGCCCGGCCGCGCTCACGCCGCTCAGAAGCCCGGGGCGGACGAGCCCCAGGTGCTTCCAGGCTCCGCACGGGCACCTGGCCCGCATCGCTGTCCCCATGTCACCCGCCAGGCTGCCAAGTGCCCTCTGCCCCTCGCTCCGCGCCTGCCTCTCGCCTTCCGTTTCCAGGACGACATTAACTTACCTGGCACTGCTGAGGCTAAAGAGCAAACAAGCCACACGGGCTGTCAGTGGCCGCCCACGGCTGGCACGCTCGGTGCCAGCCCACTGAGCCCCCGTGGGTTTAGAAGAGCAGTCCTTCTAGAAGGGCTTTACCTCCCATTACTGAGGGAATTCAACAGAAACCACAGACGGTCAAAACGTGACTCATCTCCCAGAGCAGCGATCTAACGAGCGCTTCCAGTCCTTAACTTGCACTTCACATCTTCGACTCCCTCACGGGAAATCAGAGAGCCAGGCGTTACGAGCGGGAGCGACAGGATATTCAGATATATTTGACACATAAATTCTTCTGACATACATCCACACAAACTACAGTTGACAGAGTTAAAATTATTTTAACATTAAAAAAGGTAACAGCACAGTTTCGTTAAAGATTGACAGAAGTTTTCAAACACAAGAAAAAAGTAAGCAAGAAAGGAGATGAAAGATCAAACAGAATAATCTGCCCTACTGTGAAAAATGTTTAATGCTACAGAATGGAGTACAATGAATATTAAATTCATTCAACCAAAGATAACTAATTTTAGGGACCTTGCTGGCCTTGGGGTAAATGTTTTTAGTCCCCATTTCAATTGGTTCGCTTGTGTCTCGCCCTGTTGCCTCCAGGCGCACACGGAGAGTGTACACAGCGGTCACGGCCTCCGTCCCCTCCGAGGGAGGGGCCTGGCACCGCGGCCAGCAGCCCACCTTGGCCCTGACCCAGTGTGTCACTTGACCGTCTTACTCTATGTTGAGACACCCGGAAGGAGAACCATTTTTCTCGTGCTTCCCACACAGTAAGTGTTCTCTTGCGTGTGGAACGGAATCTAGAATGACGTCTCACGCGGAGCTGTCGGGCGTCTCAGCGTGACAGAACCGGGGCGCGAGAATATTTCGGGGGGGCCCAAATGCCCTCCTTCAGTTGTGCTAAGAGCAGATACAATTACAAAACCCGGGAAGCCTTTTTTCTAGCCAAGCCAACGTTTTTCTATAACAAAGCAGACCCATCAATTTTGGACATTCTGTATAAAAAATAGGTTACTCAGCTGCTTTTTACATTGAGCACTCGGTTACAGAAGCAGTTGCTGACGTAAGCATGAGTTGTGAGAACGCATGCAGGGAAACCCGACGGCCCGAGCCTCGGCAGAGACAACCTGCTGTCCACACGCACTGCTGCCCGGCGTCCTGCACTGGCCAGGGCTCCGTGGGGTACCCGGTCCGGGCAGGCCTCCCAGGACAGGGGGGACCCGCGTGCAGACTCTGGGGCAGCTGCGTGGGCACAGCGCTAGGAGACACATCTCTCCACACAGCCAAGAAAAGCAAAACAACATCCAACACCATAGCCCTGAGAAGTCCGGGGTTTCCTTAAAAAGGCCGTCGGCTTTGACTCACCCCATCCCAGAGCGCAGGGCTCTGGGGGCAACCTAATCCCCAAGCCCCGACTCTCGGAAAAAACCTCAAAAGCTGTCCAGGTACTACAGGTAAGGGGCACACTTAAGAAAAGCTGAAGGTTCATAAAACGCAGAATCACTAACGTCCATACAGGTATGTGTCCTCACGTTATTATTCTCCTTTCATTTCAATCTGTCACATCACTTCTGTCAGTGTTCCTCTCTGATCAGCATCCTAGCAAATCCTATCGCTACAAAAAGCTTCCTAAAGGTGCTTTGTCTGGGGTGGGAGGGTGCTCTAGACCGAGTTCGCTGGACTATCAAAGAGGGAGTTGTTAATAAAAACTAAACTTTCCCATCAGAAGTTGTGTCAGTCGAGCTTTGGCCTTCACAGAAGGGAGCTAACGGATGGCCTCTCACGCCCCGCGTCAGCACAGGGGGCCCCGTGGGAGACGGGGCCCACTCGCGCCAGCCGAGAGGGAGCCCGAGGAAGCATCCTGCCATTTTACAATGAACTGAAAGGATTACTCAGATACAAAAACCCACATGGGAACAGTAGTAGCTCAGAACACTAGCACGTTACACACTAAGTTAAATTTCCCTTGTATCGTGGTTTTCATGAGCCATTTGCTCTTTACCATCAGCCAGAATGGAGTGGTTTCAGTCAATAATCTACTTCAAGTGTTTCATGTTAACAGTCTGTCTTACTATGCTCCTCTTCCCACAGCTCAAACTCAAGTTCAACAACCGAGCCACCATCACAGGCACAGGAGCAGCTGCGCCACGTCCAGTACAGACCGGAGCTGGGGGTCGGCAGACTGCGGCCCAGCTCGCGGCTGAGCAGGCCTGTGAGTTCAGAAATTTGAGAGAGACAACACGCGGACAGCAGGGGACCTGGACACAGTTCAGGAGAGGTGGGTGGGCCGGGTTGGGCTACAGGTTTTGGTCCAGAGACAAAGCGGGGGACCCAGGCATGTCTTAAGACAGAGATGAGCTTCCGCCCCTGCGCCCAGCCAACCAATTCCGTTCCGGCTAACTGGGGAAGGGCCTAGCTGCCCTCAGAGGACCATAACCTTTTCTTCAGCGTCTCGCCTGGCCCGCTCCTCCTCCTGCCTGGCTCGGTCCTCGGTTTCCCGTTTCCGCATCTCTTCTAACTGCTGCTGCCGCCGCCGTTCCTCATCCTGTAACTAACAGCAAACGAATGTTAACGTCCCTTCAACAGACTCCACCAGCACAAGACGTAAGAGGTACACACTGAGGTGAGCAGACACACATACAAGTTAAATACAAAATACCAGGTTAAGGTCACGGTGGAAAGACAATAAAACTTACACATTTATAGCTCTACAATTTCAAAATCAGGCACTTAAAAACTTTGTCCCCCCCCAGTTCCAGAATAATCTTCCATTAATTGTGGTCCAAAGAACAACACGCTTATATTATTATACATTCATGCATTAACAAGCATGGTTCTTCTATGAGAATGTATCTAAGTGACCCGGCTCATGGGAACTGACAGATGCAAACAGAAGACACGCCCACTTGACGGAACTAGGGAACCGCCCCCTTCCCTCGCCCCTGGCTCCTTCTGGCTCCCACCAGGATGTCGAGAAGAAAAGCCTGCACTCTTGGGGCGAGTGGCACGTGGCAGATCCGTGCTAGCCTCTGGGTGAGGCTCCACAGAGGCACAGAGTCCAGTGCGGCACAGCGACACTGAGCGCGCGTTTATCGGTGCCACCTGGTCTTGGGGACCACCTTTCTAGCACTCTTCCCACTCTGGCTGTTTGCCAGCAGTTAGTTCCCTCTAGATCCCACCCCGGGCCCCAAGAATTCTTCCCAGCTCCGGGGAGCTCCAAGATGTGAACGGGAATTCTGAGAGGCTTATTTTAGCCTCCCGTGCCACACAGACCTCTGCCAAGTGACACCCCATCTGTCTGAACTCCGCCAGCAAGGGTCCCCGCCTCCCTCCCCAGACTCTACCCGGCACAGAACGCTCTGTTGGTCTAAGATTTGGTGCCTGTTTTCCATTTGGTGTTGCCTAGGTTCTGCCTTTTTGAAACAACACAAAACAAATTCAACATCTTTCCGTCATACATTCAAATACTTAAGGCTATCTTTAAAAAAAATCTCGACACGTCTTCTTGGGCTGCTGCGCCTTCATCCTCCTGGTCACATCTCTCTTTGTACTTACTACAGGTTGAAAATGCCTTTTCTAAAGAGGAACCCTGAATGAAAAGCACATCTGGCCAGCAGAGAACAGAGTAAGACTCTCTTTTTTCGTCTCAATATGATTAATACAGCTACTGCTGCTGTGACAGCCTGAAACAACTTGTGGCAGCTGTGAACACTGTGCCTGCTCCTTAGTTCTTCCCGGGCACCGACCTGACCACAGCGGCACCCACCCCCGCCCCCACCCCCACAGAGGCGCTGATCCAATAACTCTGAAGTTAAAAGTGGAGCCCGCAGCCGCCTCGCTCAGTTCCTAACCACCACAGGAGCCCAGGCGCCCCTCCCCATTAAGTCCCTCGGGGTGTTTCCACATCTACAGAATCACTAGCTACTCTACAAGTCGTTCATTGCAAAAACAGAAAATGCTTTGGATTTAAGTTGTGTGTGTGTTTTTTTTAAACAAACACTTAACAACTTCGTTCTTGCTGATTTCTTTGGAACAAATCTTGTTTTCTGATGGGAAAGTAACAAAGTAACTTGCACCGTTAGGGTTTTCATGTCAGCAAATAACAACATCTTAGGAAACAATGTCAACGAGACAGGTTACTGTAACTGCCTCCTCCCTGTAAATCTAGGTGTGAGCCCAGAGGATGTCAGGGTGACTGGCTGTTAGGACTAGCTGCTACTGAGTAAGAACCAAAGAGCCACACAGGAAGGGGAGGCAGTGGCGTGGCACGGAGCCTCACGGGGAGCGTCTGCAGGCTGCTCCCTCGCTGCAGGAGGCACTTACTGCCAACCAGGGGACAGTCACCAGGGACTTTAGGGACATCAGCACAGATGAGGAGACACAGCACCCAGATGAAAATGACAAAATGAACAGCAGGTGATAGTATTAAATATTCTACAGATAAGGACTTTACGGAAAAATGTAAAATTGAATTGATGCATTAGAGGTTTTCCTGTTAGCCAGCAAAGCACAAAGTAATTTCATTATGTTATATTTTCTGGACCTAATTAGAAAGAAATTCTGAGCAAAAAACCCAGTATACATTGAAATAGCCAATTACCGTATTCCCCCATGTATAAGACACACCCTTTCCCGAAAAATTTGGGGTCTAAAAACTGGGTGCATCTTATACAGTGGTTGTATGAGCGCAAAAACAAGTGTGAAAAAAGCGGGAAATGCAAGTGAAAAAAAAAATCTACAACCACTGTATAAGACGCACCCATGGTAACTACAATATGGCCTCAGTGATAGAAAAGACAGTCTGGGGAATATAATCAATAATGTAAATATTTTTTAGGGAGACAGTTGGACTCATGTCTTGTTAGGGAGACCACTTCATAGTCGGTGTAGAGGCCTGACCACCACACTGTATTTCTGAAGTTGATGTTGCATAATATTGTATGTCAACTATAATTATATATACATATAGTCACGGGACGTGGAGTAGAGAGTAGGAATGGAGTCAATGGAATTAACAGATAAGCATGATATTGGGAGTGGGAGGGCAGTATATGGGGGGAGGGGGTTGCTTCTGTCTGAAGGGTGAAAAGAATAACTATTGCATTGTTCTGTACACCTGGAAAAAAAAAAAAGATGCACCCAGTTTTTAGACCCCAAATTTTTCAAAAAAGGGTGCATCTTATACATGGGGAAATATGGTAGTTCTTTTTAAATTAAATAGAACAATTACATTTGTCATAATTACACGTACAGAATGGTATCTTATAAATCTATAAAGAGGCATTTTCTGTTAAAAACCTTTATTTTAAATCTGGATGGTGGTAAGCAAGGAAGGAGCCTTCTTGTGCTTACTTCATTGGTTAATATTTTTAAAGAAAGGCAAATAAATAAACCAGCACCATTAAAATTAAGGCATGTTTCTTTCCACTTTCATTTTCAAAACACAGGTTGTTTTGCTTTTCAAAGATATGCTGCTTTACTAAAAACCCCAAAAACTTAATGAGAGAAAAGAGACTCTGTAATCTCTTAATTTACTATTTAGAGTAAATTCAGAGTTAACTCAAGAATGAAAGTTACATGTGATCAAAGCAGTCTTGTAGGAGGTTATATTTGGGGCAACAGACCTGACTAGATATAATAATTCTTACACAGTGAATCAAGACAGCCCAGACTAAAATCATTCTAAAGCAAGAACTACGCTGGGATTTCAAAAGCCAGTATGTCAGCTTGATCC